GGATCCTGAGCGCTGGTTTTACAACCAAATGATCTGAAATTCGGTATAAGGGTACCTTGAACATGTGTTTACAGAATAGCAGTCACATGTTTGGCATACACAATTTCCAAATGACTCATTTAGGGGACTTTAATGGCTATTTTCAGCCAAAAAAGGGGCCAAAAGTGCTGTACCCGTTCCACGTTCGATCTAAAGAATGCCCGTTCTATCTGCCGTTGGCCATCGAACACATCGAACATTGCGGGTTACCTGAGGTCACGTTGCACGTAAGTCGTGCACAATGACCCACACATTCAATTTTATGTAACGTTACCTAGATTTTTACGTCATCAGTCATCTACAATCACGACGAGGGAATATGCAGACCATCCTAATCCTGGGTGCCGCAAAGTTTTTCGGAAGGTATGTGTAACTTGTAAGAAAATATTCGTCACTCCCGGCGGCACAAGAACTCATGCCGACTAAATGGTTCGCTACCTGAGGACTTTCCACAACCATGATGATATTATACTTATATTAGAAAGGAATATGTTATAGATCAATCATGTTGAAATGATAATTGTAATACATGGTTCTATTTAATATCGGTAGTTTTGTTTCTTATTTTGATGGGGGAAACTGTCAGGGGGACCATGGGGGGACGCAAACCGATATCGGCGCACTTCCGGGTGCATAACGCCAAAATTTCTCGACGTTTGTGTAAAAATGACCACTCATTTGCCGCCTCCGGTAGCGCGATTATATCGTGCCGAAGTCAGCGTCAAACGTCAAAAAAGCCGCGTAAAAATATACATGTAGTTGCAAAACACATTTCCAGCCGCGCTCAGCAGAGCTTCGCTGTCACAAACAGCACGGACGGACCCTGCATGCTTCATTAACATATGCAAGTAGCAAAGCACTGCTACGCTCTGATTGGTTCACCTTTGATGACCTGCGCTCTGATTGGCTAGAACGAAGCCGGCTGCATGCCGGGGCGCGCGAAGTGAAGAGAACTCGAGCCACATGTTTACGCTGATTTATACCTTATTTCTACGACTAATTAGCAACATCCTAGTGACGAAATGCGTACTCAAAAGAATTTTTTTCGGGAATAAATATATATGTACATGTGGGATTGTGGTGCCTTTGGCGTTATTTTGTTGGTCACGTACAACGTAATGTAACACGGAAGTGCACGGAGTCGGACGATTATGGAGTCGCGGCACGGCTTTCCGTCCGGTCCCACTCTAAACAAAAAAGGACATAACAAAACTCACCAAAACTGGCCTAGAATTAGCCATAAAATGTTTGCAGGCACGTGTAAATATGCTGCCTTTTTTCGAGTGTTATAGGCATTTTCCGCGATGTTTTTGCACATCCCTAACGTTACCTCACGCCCGCCGCCTATTACAATGTACGGCGGACCGTAGCCGTGGACGACTCTGTAACCCTTTTACGTCATGCTACCGGCAATTTTGAACGTTGAAGAGTTGAAAATAACGACGTAATCTGTCGTAAACTCAGGGTCCGACCTGTTTTGCGGGCCCATTCCTGAATTCAAAATGGCGCCGATCGCCGATGATTTGTATGGAGTTACGTGTTCCGAGGCCGTGTTGTGGTTAAATGCTGCGTTTGTTTAGGGTCTTATCCCCCCGGCCCGGCAGGTGAGTGCGTCGGGAAGCCAGGGACACCAAAAAACCGGGGCCGGCCCGTTGCATGAGGCCCGGCACGGCAAAGGTTGGTTTTGGCCTATGGATCGCACCACGACTATGTACCCGGCATTATCATGCAAAAAGGGTTACAGAGTCGTCCACGGCTAGGCGGACCGGGGCATTTATAACTTCAGATCATCTAGGATTGCATATTCGGTGGTAAAGTAAGTAAACAAACAGAGAAAAACAGTAAAATAAAGTTGACA